TCATCACCACTAACAATGCTGTACACATTTTTTGAGTTTTCGGAATTGAAACGGTCAAGCGTTTTTGGACACCAATTAACCCTGGCTGCTTTCTGCTCTTCAGTCAACAGGTGGGGTATCCAACGAAAAACTAATTTTCTTATTCCTAACTCTTCATGTAAAATTTCTTGAATTGAGGTCTTTGAGATCTTCAATCTCGCGATATGTAACATGTCTATCTTCAATGATGAGTTTACGCACAGCTTCGACGTTTTCCTGGGTGACTGCCGTTTTTGGTGCACCCACCCTGGAATCGTGGATAAGACCCACCCGTCCACGTTTGAATTCTCCATACCAACAGGAAATTGTCGAAAACAGACAGTAACTCAGCAAGGCATCCTTGTAGCGATAATTGTCTCTGAAAGTTGTAATAAATTATGGCGCGAAAATGTTCTCGGTCTAGTTCCATTTTTCTAATGACTTGGTGACGCTTAAAACTTCACTGTAGTGATAACACTGCACGTATTGTTGTGAGACTTTGAATTTAAGTTTACTAAAGAGTGAGAATAAGATTCAGTACTGACGTTCGATCCGCGCGACCTACTATGCTTCTATACTAAGTGACATGTAAATCCGAACACCCAGTTTAAATGGTTTTATTTTAATAAAATTTTGTATAAGTACTTAATGAAGCATTATAAGTAAATGATAAAAACTTCAAAATGATTGCACTGCTTTAAAGCCCTTTGACCTTTAATAATGTCTGGATGCACCCTGATGTGCTACGCATTCTCCAACGCGCCTAGGCATGCTTCTGATCAGGTGTTCAATGTCCTCCTGTGGTATCTCATTCCAGGCAACCACCAACTCTTTTCGAAGTTCTTCTGGAGTCTGAGGAGGACGTTGCAAATTGAGCAATCTCCTACCCATCATATCCCACACGTGCTCAATTGGGGATAAGTCGAGAGATCTTGGTAGCCATGGTAACAATGTGACATCATTATGTTGAAAGAAGTCTATTGTGACTCTTGCAACATGTGGTCGGGCATTATCCTGTTGGAAAGTTGGATCTGCCAGGGTGTCAAGATAGGGTAAAAGATGGGGTTCTAGAACTTCGTGGATATAACGCCGCGCGTTCATGTTACCTCTGATGAAGATTAAAGGTGACCTGGAACCATAAGCTATAGCACCCCAAACCATAACTCCAACAGTGTGATGAACATGTCTTTCAACAAAAAACTGTGGATTCCTCCTTTCACCACGTCGCCTTCTAACCCTGGCACGACCATCGTGCATGCCTAAACAAAATCGAGACTCGTCACTAAAGACAATACTGTTCCAACCTGATCCCAGAGTGACCGTTGTCTGCACCACTCAAGGCGATTACGTCGGTGTTCTCGAGTTAAAGGGAGGACCCAGTGTGGCCGGTATGAAAACAAGCCAAAACTTCTCATTCGTCGGTAAACACTTCGCATGCCAATAGGTCTTCCGTGTTCTGCAAACCATTCATTTGCAATGGACCTGGTAGTGGAGAAACGGTCCCTTAAGGCCAATAATCTTAGGCGGCGATCTTCACGGTCTGTAGTTCTACGGCGGCGTCCAGTGCCCCTTGCTCTTTGCGTACGGCCTTTTCGAAGCCATGCCTGACAACACCTAACCAGTGTCTACACTTCTTTGCACTCTAACTGTAGTTGCCCGAAAAGAAAGTCCAGCTTCCCGAAGTCCCACTATACGGCCCCTATCAAACTCACTAAGTTGATGAAATCGTACAGGTCTCCGTACTCTAGGCATCGTAACCGATCGTAAAGGATGTCAAGAACCAAAATCCGCCAACGTTGATTCTTTACTGCGGCTGAAATATTCATTTTTAGAGCGTTAATGAATTAAAAAAAGCAGGTTAAAAACCGGAATGTCCAACTGATAAAGCTGAAAATTTTTTCACTTGTTATTTACAGTAAGATAAATACATTCACCAACTTTTATTAAAATAAAACCATTTAAACTGGGTGTTCGGATTTATATGTCACTTAGTATCTATATATGCAAAACTTAAAAGACATCCCTCGTATATACGTATACAGGTAGTTGGTTGGAAATCGCAATCATAGCGGATTTCTAAGTACAAGTCACTGATCACAAATTCAAAAGACAGTAGCCGTAGAGTTAAAAGTCGTTGTTCTAAAGGTCAAACATCATTTATCCTGAAGTCAAAGGTCAACGACCTCTTCCATATTCACTAGTGCCGAAATGAACCTCTTCTGTTCAATGTTCCAGGTTTTGTTGTTTTATGTCATTCTTGTCGATCTTAGGGCATAATTGATAAATATGGTTTCATGATCACAGCAATTCGTCTAAATTACACATTAGCCTACCAATCATTACATACTTATCGAGTTCTGCACATATTCTCCCCTATGAATCATAGGTGGCTTATTCAAACTTAATTCGCATCAATAAAAAGTGCAATTACGAAAATTACACAGAAACACAGTGAATTATTGAAAAATGTAATGACATATTGCTGGTGAAACACGAGCTGCAGCTGAGTTACAGGATGTGTGCATTTTTTAAATTGCTTTAACGTATTTATCAGCTAGTAGCTTGTATTAAAAATCGTTTCTTACGAAACCCCACTGTACAAAATTCGCAAGCCGACGTCGAGTCCAGAAACATGTACAGGGTGGCCGATATGTAACTGAATGGTTTGTATCTTGAATATTCGTGAAATGAAATAAAATACGTCCATTTTCTTCATCTCAATATTTTATTGAAACTTAGAAATTATGGATGAAAAATAATATCAGACAAAAATGTCCGCCTCTAGAAGCCGCGCAAACTTGAGCCCTCTTGATTACATTTTCCATCAATTTTTGGCAGGTTCGGGAGGAATATTTTCAATCGCTTCCGTAATATTGCTCTTTAGCAATTACAAATTACAGTATTTGGTGTGTATTTTTCAAAAATCCCCATAAAAAAGTCAGGAGCCGTTAGATCCGGTGACCTTGGTGGCCAGGTGGCATCACCAAATCAGGGAATTAAACGTCCCGGGAATATTGTTCACAAAAGATTAATTGTTTCCCTAGATGTGTGACAAGCTGCTCTGTCCTGCTGGAACCACATGTTTTGCAGGTTGAATTGTTGGATATGAGGAGCCCTGAAGTTTTGCACCATATAACGGTAGCGCTCGCCAGTGCAGCGTCTTCAAAGAAGTAAGGGCCAATGGCACCTCCATCAAGATCACCGCACCAAACTGTGACTCGACGAGGCTGTAGTGGTCGCTGATGGATGACACGAGGGTTCTTTAATGTCCAGATACAATTCTGCTTATTAACAAATCCGGTCATATCGAAGTGGGCTTCACAGATCATTGTAAATTGTCGGTAAAAATAGTTATTTTGGGTATTAAGCTGCAATATTGCATGACCGTATTGCCGGCGACTTTCATGGTCACTAGCTGTAGTTCTTGTGTTAACTGAGTTTTGTGTGACAGCAGTCTTTTTTAAAATAGTGCATAATGACGTGCGACGCATATTCAGCTCTTGAGCACGATGTCTGGTAGAACTATCAGGGCGCTCCACTACACTTTCACGATCTCTCTCAATATTTTCCGGGGTACGAACAGTTCGAACACCGACCGACCTTGACAAGTCTTTAACTTTAAGTACCTGTTTGTTCAAATTTCTGCCACCCTGTATAATGAAAGTGGTTCGTAATGCCAAAGACCAGCACGATGTAAAAATTAGGCACAGGGTGATGTCTTGATTGTTGTTACTAAGTGCATTTTGTCTACTCATTGACAAAATTTTTTGGCCATGACGTACACTAGCTTTATTAGAATCCCACATTTTTTATGACGTATTGTACAAACGAATGAGATGTTCAAACTGTGGACGTCTTTTTCTCGATTTCTCATTACATCAAAATTTAGTTAAATAGTAGCTAAGATATTGGCGGACCATAAGACATGAATTTAAATTCTTTATCTACAGATATGAAAGGGTCTTGGTGCATACCGTCTACCATAACGTCCATTTGCACACGGAAGACCCCGTATAGCTAAACGCCCTTCTTAAAATATCGAATTTTGTCTAATCACCGCAACATAGGAAAACACAAAATGAAACATGTGGTTGAGCTGTAAGCCACAATAATCTATTAAACAATTGTGATTATAGTATAGGAGCTAGCAACGTTTTCGAGAAAGAATTTCAGGTCAGCTGATTTTTTAATATGTTGTCCTTCTTCCTCTTTTGGGTAGAGCCTAGGCTATCTGGCTGGCGGTAGCGGTTGCGTTCATTGGTGCGCATCCTACCTGTACAGGTAATAATCCAAGGTTTTGAAAGTATTTCAAGAAGCTAAATTTTTAATTTCTTATCTTTAGATAGGTTTACCAAACACTATTTTTTTATTGCCAGACACTTTTATCATTGCCAATGATATGCCATACGCGATCTTTTTTTTTTTTTTTTTTTAAATTTCAAATCATTATAGTACGTCTGTCATTTTAATATTACATTATTTGAATATATAAAAACCTAAAATTAATTTGCCAAACATTAATTCGATTGCTAAACCTTGAAACATCTTCTTAATTTTATGTATTTAAGAAAAAGTTGAAAATATGTTCCAGTTGCTCGGACGGGTATCAAATTGCAAGTAATGCTAGTTTATATCAGAATTAGGATAAAAAAAGATAAAAACCCAGAAAACCATTTAATTTTGGCTGATTTTGGGATAAAAAGGCCAAAACAAGTCAAATTTTAACCGAAAACTATCCAAATAGAAGAGATTCCGTGATGGATGTTTGGTGGTGGTGGCACGACCCTATGTGTGTGAGTGTGTGTGTGTATGTGTGTATGCGCGTGGGGGGAGGGGTCGAGGAGGATAGAGGGTACGCTCGCGCGCAGCACGTTTCTGGAAAGTTACGCGTATTTTTTTGTCTAGACAAAAGACAATAAATTTATTTATTCATTTGGAAACAATTCAATAATAATTTTGAAAAAGAAAACATTTTCTCAGTCCTGACATTTGGTATGTTCACCTGTAACGATAAAAGGATTTAATGCGATTTCATGGTTAGGTAAATGAAAATATGTACACTTTTAAAAATCTTACCGTCACTTAACCAGGTGGGTCGTCTACATTGGCAGTATTCTGTTGTAACGACAGTGTAACTACATTATGGACACGCACAACGCGAATCTTACCGTACCTGTCGCGTTGGTCGTCCCTGCACTGTGGGCACGCATGCCCGCTCACACAAACTGACACGCGGGCGCTCTCGCACACACACACACACGCACACCTACACACACACACACACACACACACACGTACGCACCTACACACACACACACACACACGCACACACACACACAGTCCTGCCACCACCACCATCAAACATTCATCACGGGTTCTTTTATATTTTGATAGTTTTCGGTTAAAATTTGACTTGTTTTGGCCTTTTTATACCAAAATTGGCCAAAATTGAATGATTTTCTGGGCTATTTGTCTTTTTTTATCCTAATTCTGATATAAACTAGCATTACTTGCAATTTGAAACCCGTCCGAGCGACCGGAACGTATTCTCAATTTTCACTTAAATACATAAAATTAAGTAAATGTTTCACAGGGTACGACGAAAATGCCAATGCGGGGATTTTTGGGGAACTTTGATATGTTGTAAAGGGAGGTCTAATGAGTCGAAAACCGTTGAGAAAAAGTGTGAGCGATTTTTTTCCAGCTTTGGGCAGTTTTTGAGCTATCTTTCCTGGACTATTAAGAAATCCACACAGCGTCGTGATAGTAGTTAGAGAGAGACAGACAGTGACGTTGGCGCAGCCGCCAAATTTTCAAGATGGCGTCAGTCTAAAGGCCCACGTTTGTGTTTATGTTGTGTCTCACTGTTTGTTTAGCATCGAAGAAAATGGTGAAGGTCTACGAAACCAGTTTATCAATGAATGTGCCGAGGATGAGAGTAGATTTGATAAGCCGATTAAAAAAAATCGAGTTTTAAATTTTACTGAAGCTCCAAAGAAAAAGAAGTTAGCTCTCGGGAATAAAGTTGTTGAACTGCGCATGCAAAGAGATTTATTTGGTCGAATGTTGGGAATTTCCCTTACTCACAAGGTTGACATTGAAAAAGTTTTGTCATTCCCACTTACTCCGATGCCAACGTCTATGTGTCATCCAGATGGTTCAATTTGTAAAACCGACAAAGCACAATTAACAAAATTGATGGAGAAGAAATTGGAAACTGCGATCGATCAACAGCCGTCATCTTTTGACATTAGTATCGTTGATGGTTTTTTTATGTTGCATCTCATGAAAGAGATACCACAAACTTTTGATGGAATCGCTAAAAAGTTTCTTTCTGCGATCTCCCAAATGAAATCAGTTCGGATCGATGTGATTTTTGACCAATACTTTTCACCATCAATTAAGGATTTTGAACGTTCACGTCGAGAAGAGTCAACCATTCCAGTATCTATCGGTCCTAATCAAATTCGGCCACACAATTTCGGAGCAGAACTTAAAAACATGGAATTTAAAATAGCTCTAGTTAACTTTTTTATTGATCACTGGGATAGTGAAGACATGGTACCTTTTATTGGTAATAAAATTATTTATGTAAGTTTCAACAAATGTTATTCGTATAAAGTCTTGAATAACAAAGTTGTACGGAGTATCGAAGAATCTCTATCAAGTGAAGAACACGAAGAAGCTGATTCTCGCATTATTTATCATATATGTCAAATTGATTTCGATGCCGACGTTGTTATACGCTGTTCTGACTCCGATATTTTAATTATATTACTGGGTAATATGGATCACCTCAATGCATTTTTGAAGATTTGGATTAACATCGGTGTAGGCAATCATCAGCGATACGTAAACGTTAATGAATTATACCGAATCCTTGGTGATTCTCTATCAAAAGCTTTACCATGCTTCCACGCAATCACGGGGTGCGATTACACGCCAGCATTCTTTAGAAAAGGTAAAGTTAGACCTTTTAAAATTTTGGAACAATCTAAAGAATATCAATCAGCGTTTGGAAACATAACTACGGATAACGAAGATTTACTTGACAGTACTTTTGTAATCCTTGAGAAGTTTGTTTGTCAAATGTATGGAGTTAAAAATTCTTCAGATGTGAATAGTGTTCGATTTCATTTATTCTCAAATACTTTTCAATCAAAAAAATCCGATGAAAATTTTGAGAAGAAATTTCGAAACTTTGACTCATCGAGTTTGCCACCCTGTAAAGCGGAATTGCAACAGCATTTATTGAGAGTGCGCTACGTGACTAAACTTTGGAAGAATGCTCACTTGAAACATCCAACTTCTTTATCTCCAGTTGCTTCCGGTTGGACCATCAAAGATAATAAATATGATTTTGTCTGGTTCCTGGGAGAGCAGTTACCATCATCAATTGCTGATATTATTATTCAAAGTAAGTATGCAATAGAATATCTATCAATAATCAGTAAAATATCATATAAGAAACGACAAAAACTGTACTATATTAACTTTTTTTTGTTACAGATGAGAGAGTTTTAAGAAATGATGACAATGACCAAGACGATGATTTCAATACTTCTAGCAATGAGAGCGACGATGATGACGATTGTGAAGATGCATCCTTCGTTTGTAATACGATTATGGAATGAAATATTTAAAAACTAAAGAAGAATTCTTAATATTTTTAATTTGTTATTTATGTGTGTTACCTGAGCATTATAAATAAAAAATTTAATTTTTAAACCTTCAATAATGCATTTTAATTTTTTCGTTTTTGACTAGAATATATTCTAATATAATTTTCTTCATATTTCATTTTTTCCATCAAGATTTGTAGTTTTGTAATGATTTTCCGTCTTCTTCTCGGCAGTACATCTTACAACTATCTCTCTCTAACTACTAGCACGACGCTGTGTGGATTTCTCAGGTTTGTCGTTCTTTTTCAAGGTTGAGCAATCGAATTAATGTTTGGCAAATTAATTTTAGGTTTTTATATATTCAAATAATGTAATATTAAAATGACAGACGTACTATAATGATTTGAAATTTAAAAAAAAAAAAAAAAAAGATCGCGTATGGCATATCATTGGCAATGATAAAAGTGTCTGGCAATAAAAAAATAGTGTTTGGTAAACCTATCTAAAGATAAGAAATTAAAAATTTAGCTTCTTGAAATACTTTCAAAACCTTGGATTATTACCTGTACCTACAGGTAGGATGCGCACTAATGAACGCAACCGCTACCGCCAGCCAGATAGCCTAGGCTCTACTCAAAAGAGGAAGAAGGATAACATATCAAAAAATCAGCTGACCTGAAATTGTTGTTTTCCCGACGTTACTAGCTCCCGGACTATTAGGATTTATCTGTGAAAAGAAACGAAAAGTGTTGTCTCGTGCAGCACACTTATTTCTCTACACCGCAAAGGAGTTTTTTGAGTCAAAGAAAAGGTATTAAATATCACCAAACCAAATAGAAGATTGTAAAAACTTGTTTTGGCCTTAGGTACATTCCGGATGACTGAACGTCGAGCGAGATGAACGGTTTACTTCGATTTGGTTTCCAATCGAAAAATGATGGATACTTAGGTGCCGTGAAAAAACTAACCACACCTGACCGTCTACCGTCCAACGTTTTTATCACGGAATTAAATTATTAAACTGAGAGCTTTATACTCAAATCAGCCATCTCTTCGTTACGAGCGCATCATTCTGAGTTTATAAACACAAGCAGTTCAATATACAGGATGTTTCACAACTTATCCAAGAAATTTTAACCACATATATTCAGCCAATCATAATTTATTAGTTAATCCTGAGAAGTCAAAAATCATAGTATTCTGTTCTGATAATAAAAGAAACTACGTCAAAGGTAACCTTAATATCTTTATCGACAGAAATCTTCAGGTTGGTACTACTGCCAAGATTTTAGGTGTCGAGGTCGATGAGAAGTTAAGGTTTTATAATCATATCAACTGTCTTGCTCAAAAAACCTACCTCCGCCTACGCACTTTGTACTCTTGTAGGTACTTACTGAACTATAAGCTCAGGAAAAAACTGTGTGAAACGCTAGTGATGTCTTGTTTGAACTACTGTAACATCCTTTATTTCCCATGCCTCGACAAAATAACGAAAAATAGAATTCAAATTATACAGAATAATTGTGTCCGTTTTATATGTGGATTGAGAGAATTTGACCATGTATCACAGAAATACAGGACGCTGAAATGGCTCAAATTTGATAAATTGGTCGAATATCACCATCTAGTATTTATTCACAAAGTAATAACCACTTCAAAGCCCGCCTACTTGAGAGAAAAAATTCTATTTAACTTTGTTGTTCATGATCGGTTGCTTAGAGATAGGTTGAGTATCAGAATTCCGCCTCACTCTACAGTCTTATTCACCAGCAGTTTTTCTTATAATTCGGCAGTTCTATATAATTCGTTGGAATATTCCTTTAAATCTATGAGCTTAGCAAGTTTTCGTAAGCATGTAAGGATCAGGCTGCTTGACTGATACTAGCCTTTCCACATTCATCATCCAATCAGACTTTATATTTATTACGTTGAGAAGCTAATATTATTTTTAGGCGCATGATATATATGTATATATAGGTATGTGTATATGTGTGTATACAGGGTGACTTCGAAGTTGAGTCATTTATTTTAACAGTGAGTAGATCTGATCAAAAGAAATGTTTTTTTCCTTTACCATTTTCTGGTAAAATTAACGTAACAATCCGCCTTATCGGTTCATCGCATCGGAAACAAAAAAGTGAAAGAATTTGGAACGATGTTTTTACAATTATTTTATTCAGTTGTATACAGTCAGTGTCAGTCGGTAACGCGTGAGTGAATAGTGGTGTATGTTGCGTGGCTCAAACGAAATAAAAAATGGCACATGTTTATGCGGATCGGTTTCCCAATCGAGTGCAACCAACCCCTCGTGCCTTTGTTAATGTAGTACAACGGGCTCGTGAATCAGGTGACTTAAGACCTCACAGGGGACGGCATGCCGGTGCTCCAAGACTTCACGATCAAATACAGGTCCGCACTGAAATACTTGTCGGGATGATACTTTATAAAACAAGGTCAAAATTTTTTTTTATTTTTTTTTTATTTTTACACACATATTTTGGTTTATCTTCCTTCTACAATCATTATCTGAAAATTAATGACTCAACTTCAAAGTCACCCTGTATATATATATATATATATATATGTATGTATATATGTGTATATATATGTTATTTCTAATTTATTTAACATCACTGTATTTATTGATTCAGCTGGTTAAGTGTAAGAGTAGCATTGCTAAACTTCGCCAGTTGAGTCCCACTTTCAGTATGTACCATGTACATATTTTTTTTTTGTAATAAAGGCGTATATTATTATTATTATTATTATTATTATTATTATTATATGCACTGTTACGAAAGAAGTTGATT